GCAGCAAGCCATTCTCGCCGCCCTTCAAGCCAACAACCAACCACCCGCTCCACCCGTTGTGCCCCCTCCGGATCATGTCCAAGATTCCGAAGATGAAGGAGATGTTGATGTCGAAGAAAACCGATTTGCACCGCTGCAAGCCGCGCCTCCTCGCCATCGTGCTAACGTCACTGCACCACGTCAGGAAGACAACCGCCGCTGGGAGTCGCGTTTCAAACTTGATATTCCCGAATTCCATGGAAGTCTCCAACCGGAAGAGTTTTTGGATTGGATTGGAGCCGTTGAAGAAATCTTAGAATTTAAGGAAGTCCCGGACAAGTTTCTCTTGTCGCTACCCGTTTTCGAGGCCGAGCCGTCGCTTGGTGGCAACAACTCAAGGTCTCTCGTTCGCGTGCCAGGAAAGAGAAGATCTCCTCATGTGAAAAATGGAAGAAGCATATGAAGCGCACATTCCTTCCGTATAATTATGTACGGACCATGTATCAACGCCTCCAAAATTTACGACAAGGCAATCGGACGGTGGATGAATACGCGACCGAGTTTTTCCTTTTGCTTACAAGGAATGAGATTAATGAAACTGATGAACAATCAGTTTCCCGCTTCATCGGAGGGCTTCGCCCACAATTTCAAAATATATTGAATCTCTTTGATCCGGCAACCGTCTCTGAAGCCCATCAAAGGGCGTTATTAATTGAACGACAGAATCGATCCGGTGCCTCCCTTTGGAGCTGGCTAGTCGCTGCTGCCGCTCGCACCAGCATCTCCACACGACCCCCTTCTACCGCCCCTGCACCAGCCGCCGCCGCCGCAACTCCTCCACTTTTTTTCTCTTAGCCGAAGGAATTGAGATGGGAGATCCTGAAATTTTGCATGAAAATTATGATGAGCACATAGAGGATGAGGAGATATTAGAAGAACTCCCGGAAGAACAAGTTTCGGGAGATTCGGGTCCATTACTTGTGCTTCGCCGAAGTTGTTTTTCTCCAAAGGCAACCGATGATTCGTGGCTACGAGCAAGTCTTTTTCATTCCACTTGCATGGTAAATGGAAAAGTTTGTCGTTTTATTGTTGATTCGGGAAGTTGTGAGAATGTTGTCTCCGAAGAAGCCGTTCGTAAACTGGCGTTAAATTCAGAAAATCATCCCACCCCTTACAAGCTCGCTTGGTTGAAGCAAGGATCAGAAGTTCAAGTCTCTCGCCGGGTTCTCGTTCCCTTTTCCATTGGAACTAACTATAAAGATAAGATTTATTGCGACATAGTTCCCATGGATGCATGTCATATCCTTTTGGGGCGACCTTGGCAATATGATCGACATGTCATTCGTGATGGGAAATCAAATACCTACAGTTTCCACTTTGAGAAACGCAAAATTACGCCACTCCCATCAAAAGTTCCGCCTAGACCTCTGTTGCTACCCCCAGTGGACGTCCGCCCGAATCAACAGATGTCTACCAACGCACAGCCGCTTGGATCTGCGCCTAAATCAGTCATGCTTCTCACCCATTCGAAGTTTGCAACTGCCATGCAGGAAGCCGGCATCGTATATGCACTTGTTACAACTCCAAGCATGTCTCCATCACCCAAGTATATGCCGTCTGGAATTCAAGCGCTTCTCCAAGAGTTTTCGGATGTCTTTCCGGAAGAACTTCCTAATGGGTTGCCACCGTTGCGAGACATTCAACATCAAATTGACCTTGTTCCAGGTGCTACACTTCCCAACAAGCCACACTATCGGATGAGTCCGAGTGAACATGAAGAGCTTCGTCGACAAGTTGAAGAGTTGATTGCAAAAGGATATTTACGGGAGAGTCTCAGTCCTTGTGCCGTCCCTGCACTCCTAATTCCAAAGAAAGATGGCTCTTGGCGCATGTGTGTGGACAGCCGCGCTATTAATAAGATTACTGTGAGATCCTTTCCGATTCCCCGCCTCGATGATCTCCTTGATCAAATAAGTGGAGCCACTATTTTCATAAAGCTAGATCTTAAGAGCGGCTACCATCAAATTCGGATTCGACCCGGGGACGAATGGAAAACAGCGTTCAAAACACGCGATGGTCTATTTGAATGGTTAGTGATGCCATTCGGGCTTTCTAACGCCCCGAGCACCTTTATGAGAGTAATGAACCAAGCGCTTCGGCTGTTTATCGATAAGTTCGCCGTTGTTTATTTTGATGATATTCTTATTTTTAGCGCTACTATGGAGGATCATCTCCGACATCTTCGTGAAGTTCTCTTAGTACTGCGGCGAGATAAATTTTATGCGGCTCTCAAAAAGTGTGAATTCGGTTCCGACCAAGTTCTATTTCTTGGTTATGTTGTTTCAAAGGAAGGTTTGGCAGTGGATCAAAACAAAGTGGAATCTATTCGATCATGGCCAACTCCGCGCACCGTCACCGAAGTACGAAGCTTTCATGGGTTAGCTTCTTTCTACTGCCGGTTTATTCCCCACTTTAGTAGCATTGTAGCCCCGATTAGGATTGTATTCGGGATGGAAAATTTGCTTAGACTCCGGAGGCTGCCAAGGCTTTTGAGCTAATTAAACACAAGCTCACCACAGCCCCTATTTTGGTTTTACCAGACTTTTCTCTTACTTTTGAGCTACATAGTGACGCCTCTAAGGTTGGTATAAGGGCCGTTCTTAGTCAACAAGGACGACCCGTTGCTTGTTATAGTGAGAAGCTCTCCGGTTCACGAGCTCGTTATAGTACTTATGATGTGGAATTTTCCGTAGTGGTTCAAGCCATTAAACATTGGCGTCATTATCTTTTCCACAAGGAATTTGTTCTTTACACCGACCATGACGCTTTAAAACATCTCGGAAGTCAAGACAAGGTTTCGGCTCGACATGCTTCTTGGATAGCCTATCTCCAACAATTTATTTTTGTTATCAAGCATCAATCGGGTGTCCTTAACTGAGTGGCCGATGCATTGAGCCGTCACTTCATGTATCAGTACCGAGATTCTCCACTTTTCCCTAATTGTATCCCTCCGATCCTTTCTTTTCTCGGATTCTAGAAGATGTACATGGGGGTACAAGCTCCGAATATGTGATGCATGATGATTTTCTCTTCTTGGGCAGCCGTCTTTGTGTTCCGGATTGTAGCTTACAATTGCAAATCATAAAGGAACTACATGGAGAGGGTCATGTTGGTCGAGATAGAACGCTTCATTTGGTCTCTACTTCTTATTTTTGGCCTACACTTCGCCGAGATGTGGAGCACTATGTGGAACGTTGTCGAGTTTGTCATACCTCCAAAGGTCATGCTTCCAACGCCGGCCTTTACATGCCTTTGCCTATTCCAACGCAGCCATGGACCGATATTAGCACGGACTTTGTTCTTGGCCTTCCTCGCACTCAAAAGGGTAATGATTCTATTTTTGTGGTGGTTGATCGCTTTTCTAAAATGGCTCATTTTATTCCTTGCAAGAGAACTACCGATGCAGTTCAAGTGGCTCAATTGTTCTTCAAGGAAGTTTACCGCCTCCATGGTCTCCCTACTTCCATTGTTTCCGATCGAGATTCTCGTTTCTTGAGTCACTTTTGGAGGTCCCTTTGGAAATTGGTTAATACAAGTCTAGATATGAGTTATGCTTACCATCCGCAAATCGATGGCCAAACCGAAGTTACCAATCGTGCTCTAGGAGATTTACTTCGAAGTCTTGTTGGAGATCATATTAAGTCGTGGGATTTAAGCTTAGCCAAGCGGAGTTTGCTCACAATCATGCTAAGAACCGAAGCACTAGCTGTAGCCCTTTTCAGGTGGTTTATGGTTGTGTTCCTTGTTGTCCTCTTGATCTTACTCCGCTTCCTGACCGCACTCGAATTCATGGAAAGGCTGCTGATTTCGCGACAGATTTGCAGCATATCCATCAAGTAACTTATGATCATTTGGCAGCTACTACTGCAAAGTATAAGGCTGCAGCCAATCGCCATCGTCGCGCCGTGGAATTTAATGTTGGTGATCTTGTGTGGGCTGTTTTGATAAAAGAACGTTTTCCTCTTCATGAGTACAACAAGTTGAAGGCCAGGAAAATCGGTCCTTTAGAAGTGCTTGAGAAGATCAATCCCAATGCCTACCGGTTGCGCCTCCCTTCGAATGTCAACACTTCTGACGTTTTTAATGTTAAGCATTTGGTTCCTTTTGCTGGTGAGATAGAAGATTCTGATTCTAGGTCGAATCCTTTTCACGCCGGAGGGACTGATATAGCGCCTGCTGCCAGAAGGCAGAGATAATTTTTATCTTTAATTAAAAGAGATTATTTTTATCTTTAAATTCTAAGTTTAGATAGTCTCCTTATTTTTAAAATTAGAAAGAGATTAATTAGAGTTTCCTTTTCGATTTCGAATTGTAGTTCTCTTTAAATAGTAGGGTAGCTTGTTATTTTCATTATTGATATTTTGATATTAAAATCTTCAGAGAAGTTTTTTCTCCACTTTGCTTGTTTTTCGGCATTCTTTCGAATCAACAAAAATGTCAACACTTCTGACGTTTTTAATGTTAAGCATTTGGTTCCTTTTGCTGGTGAGATAGAAGATTCTGATTCTAGGTCGAATCCTTTTCACGCCGGAGGGACTGATGTAGCGCCTGCTGCCAGAAGGCAGAGATAATTTTTATCTTTAATTAAAAGAGATTATTTTTATCTTTAAATTCTAAGTTTAGATAGTCTCCTTATTTTTAAAATTAGAAAGAGATTAATTAGAGTTTCCTTTTCGATTTCGAATTGTAGTTCTCTTTAAATAGTAGGGTAGCTTGTTATTTTCATTATTGATATTTTGATATTAAAATCTTCAGAGAAGTTTTTTCTCCACTTTGCTTGTTTTTCGGCATTCTTTCGAATCAACAAATTACTCGCCTTCCGTTTTCCGGTATTCTTTCGAATCAACGGAATTACGTGACACCTTTTTACGCTTCCGCTACGTCAGTGTGGGACTATAAAAACATAACTAGAAAACATCCCAGATGTAGGGGGAGAAAACAATAAATGATTGACACTCAGCAATCGGACTCAGAAAATGCTATATTCCTATTTGCAGGCTCTTATGTATCCTCTCCTTGTAGCATGTAAATCAATAAGTAATTTGCGCAAAGCTGCAGCTCAAGAAGTAGTTGACAGAGTTCGGCAACATAGTGGTGTGCTTGTTCATCAGGTAACTAATATTGTAAATCTAGTTTCAAATCGTCTTTTGTTTCATTTCACCCCCTTTTTCTATTTCATTTTTTATGACTAATTTTATTTTATTTATTTTATTTTTTATTTTTTTGGGCAGGCACAACTTGTATCTCAGGAACTAATCAGGGTTGCCATACTTTGGCATGAGACGTGGCATGAAGCACTTGAAGAAGCTAGTCGACTGTATTTTGGTGAACATAACATTGAAGGGATGCTAAAGGTTTTGGAGCCATTACATGAAATGCTCGAGGAAGGGGCTATGAGAACTAGTACCACCATAAAAGAGAGAGCATTTATTGAGGTTGTAAAATCAACTCAACTTTCATTATTTTCTCCCATTCTAGCAGTAATTATTGCATGTTGCACTAGTTTGCAATGTGCGCTGCAGTGTGTTAGTTCACCTGATCAACCTCTTGAGCTTTAATGACCTGATTCTGAGACACAAATGAGATCTCAGAAATTGTTTCATAAATCTCTGTTTCTTTTCATTTACTGACCTTTTTTTTATCTTTCCTAAATGCACAGTGCGCCAGTTTTCCTTAGCTAATTATTTTGCTTTTGTGCAATCTCAGGCATACCGCCGTGAATTACTTGAAGCCTATGAGTGTTGCATGAAATATAAGAGAACTGGGAAGGATGCTGAGCTTATTCAGGTTTAGAAACTACTGAAGCATCGTTTTTGGTTTCTTTATTTCTAAGTTTATCAATTTATGTTATGAAGAAATTGGAATTGATGCATGATAATCATCATAAAAACCACAGCGCTTGCTAGGACTATATTATTATCATTAGCCGGTCTGTTAAATTGCATTGGTTTGTGCTTCTTTTATTTATTTATTTTTTCTCGAAATGCATTTACCGTGCCACTTTGAGTTATTCACCGAGAGAGAATTGAGATTATACTCTTATTATGTTTTGATGCTTTCTGGATTTTACTCTTTCTTCGTTTGGTGTTTGTGTCTTTAGAGCCACTTAATTTTGTATTGACTGAATTTTTCCAGGCATACAAGCTACTACTAATATTAACAGAATCAACTACAACTGTTAAGAAACTGCAGATCCATGCTTTGGCCATTTTCCTTTACCTTTTTTTTCCCCTCCTCGTATTGTACTCGCAATAGTATGTCTTGGTTTAGGTACACACATTGCATTACTCGTACCCTTTATTAGCTTAGTTTTCTTCATTATGTTGCTTCAAGATTCCTTGATCCTTTGATTTTTCTTCTCTGAACCAATTCTCTTAAATTTTTTGCATCACAAAAATGTGCAGAGTGTAATTGTTATTCCCTGAAATTGAGAAAATTGTTATTCTCACACGATCAAATTTGACTATGTTTTTCTTACGAAGGATTTTCATACATGTCATCGGTATTATTGTTGAAATAACCATTGGTACTAATGATTTGTATTATGACTCACTTAGGCATGGGATCTTTATTATCATGTATTTAGACGGATAGATAAGCAGCTCCAAAGTCTCACTACCCTCGACCTGCAAGTAAGAAGAATTTATTTCTTTATTTTATCCCTCATATTTCTTATAGCGGCATTAACATCTCTGTATGCACGCAATAGTCTGTTTCTCCAGAATTGTTAGAATGTCGCGACTTAGAGCTCGCTGTTCCCGGGACATATCGTGCTGGTAAAACCTCTGTACAAGTTGTCATAATTTTTTTTTTTACACCCAAGTCGTCTCACTAAAACAAGTATTCAATTCCATATTCCAGACTCTCCAGTTGTGACGATTAAGTCATTTGCACCTCAGCTTGTGGTTATAACATCTAAACAGCGACCCAGGAAATTGACAATTCATGGAAGTGATGGTGATGAGTATGCCTTTCTGTTGAAGGGACATGAAGATTTGCGCCAAGATGAACGAGTCATGCAGGTGATTTCCTCTTTCCACTTGGATTTCTTCCTCATGAATTTAGGTGTGCTTTAAAGGTTTCTAGGTTGACATTATATATAAGTCATGCAGGTGATTTCCTCTTTCCACTTGGATTTCTTCCTCATGAATTAAGGTGTGCTTTAAAGGTTTCTAGGTTCGATGACATTATATATATATATGTGAACAAATTTTCTTCCCTTGTTCCTGCCTTTTCAGTTTCTTGACCTTTTTTTTT